ATGGTTACGATCCTCAATAATACGAAACGACGATCCAAAGGACATGGGAACCACATCATACTCAACATCACAAGTCGACTCATCAATCAATGCACACCTCGGGTCAACGACATCACATAATAGCTCGGAATCCTCCTCAACAACATCCACAAAATCATCAACTACCACATCCTTCTCCTCAAAATCATCCTCCCGAGCACTTTCAAAACCATTTGACTCATCCGACACATGAATAGGCACAATCAATTCCTCAAATGAGTTATCCCCCATATCATACACCATATCAACACCCGATTCCATATGCTCACTCTCAACAATAGAATTCGAACTAAAAGCACAATCACCTAGAGAAAGAATTGACGTACCTAACGTGGAATGCACGGTCGAATCGTCAAGAGAGGATATTTCTTTAACAACCAAATCGTCAAGGTCCTCACTCGTGTCGAGAGATTGAGTACCATCATAAACGAGAGTGAGACCCATCTCATTCAAGGAGGTAAATCGATCCACCATAGCTCGAAACTCACCCTCTAACCGAGTACTCTCTCGGATAATCCTCGCCGATAGAGAACAATACCTACCGAGCAGAATGTGAGAGGCGTCCAAATCAAGAAAAGAGACCACAGTATAGTCGAAATTCGTGAATGTGACTTGAAGAACGGATGGCATAGGAATGCTCCAACTATGAAATTCCTCAACGATTGACATGAGGCTCGCGAGTGCCTCTTGAGTGCTCGTCAAAACCTCTTGGTGACGTTCGGAAGGCGCAACCGTGGTTGGAATTGAAGCTCCGGAACTCGAGGTAGAAGGTTGGCCAACCGATAGGTGCTCCAATGGTAGAGAGGGTGTAGCAAGGGACTCAGTTTCTTCTTCCTCGAATATGGGAGCCATGGAAGCGCGAAGGGATCGATTGCAATCCTCTAAATGCTCCATGATCTCGGCTAGACTCGGATGGAGGTGTCTCTTCATAATAAACGAGAGGTGGCAGATAATAGTGAGACGTCTCGTCGTGACCCGGAGAATACTAACCGAAATCAACTTGCGATGATGGGTAAGAAGGGCTCGGATACGGATAGGGCGGCCCTCCATACGAGTACATCTCCTCATGATAGTTGTCGGGGCATCCACGAGACGAGCTACCGACATAAACATAGCCATACGGATCCATCGGAGCTCCTCAAGCGAAATACCTCGCACAAGAAAAACAAAACAACCAAGGTACAAGAGGAAAAGGGAAGAAAATACAAAACGAAACTAACACGACATGATATGTACACGAACACACAAAACAAAAAGCAAGAGAAATCGAAAAACAAAGCAATATTAAAGAGAAACACACAAAACAAAGAAAAAGCAACAAAAAGCAAGAGAAACACGGAAACAAACGACAACTAGATAGTAAACTTGGCGTCTTACTCGCCTTCCCCGGCAGCGGCGCCATTTTGTTTAGTTTAAATTTGGGCATGTGGTAACCGAGGTACCCGACTCGGGTCGTTCTCAAAGGAAGGCTCTTCGGAGCTTCGTTCACTACCTAGTCGTCAAAATCACACGACCAAAAAGATCCTAAACATTCTACTCAATTGATTGGATGGTTGATTAACACTAAACGAGCACTAAAAAAAACGAGCAATTAACTAAAGCAAGATCAAGTCACGGGCAAGTAGCAAACTAAACCGTCGAAGTCTCATGCCATAACCATACGGGATGATAATCAATCGACATAGGGAATAAACGAGCAATGAGCATTAGATCGCTAATCCTAGTCGTCTAACCAAGATCAACAAGCAATTAACTTCTCTATCTACTCAGGCAAGCAATCAATCAAGTCCAAACTTTCTCTCCATCATTAATCAAACTCAAATTTACCCTAATGAACATTATAAGTAAATACGAGGCAAAAATCGAAGTAAAGAGCTTTAAAACTAAATACCCTTCCTTCTATTGCATAGACGATGAAAAACGGAGTCAAAAGCTCGAAACTTGAACGAAACCGAAGTCGCCGGAAAACCTCCCGGAAAATGACATAAGCATCTAGTCTAGAGAGCAAAATATAAAAAAAGGAAAAAAGAAAGTGGAGAGGATTTTCTCAACTTAAAAGTTGGGAAATGAGGGTTGTCCCCCAAAAATACAAAGCATAATGTCTTTATATAGCTACACCACAAACACACACTAAAACACACACATTTAAAAATTCAGCACTCGCTAGGTAGCGAACTAGTTCGCTAGGCAAACTGGTCTTGTAGTTGTGCACACTCGCTAGGCGGCGAACTCATTCGCTATGCGGACTGGCCCTATGAGTCTTGTGAACTCTCGCTATGCGGCGAATACGTTCGCTAGGCGAACTAGACTTTTGGCACTGTAATGACTCGATAACGGCTCGGGCGACTCGGGCGGCTCGATCGGCTTGGACGGCACATCACGAAAGTACTATTTCTTCCTTCCGGGCCTACAAAACACCAAAACAAAAGAGAAAACGCACAAAAAAATACGAAAACACTATACAATAACAAAAATACACAAAACATAATAAAATGGACCGGTCACCACTAAAACGAGCCTAAAACTATAAAATAAAGCACACAAAACACCCGAAAATAAGCACAAAAACACAATAAACAGTGGTAATTAATGTAGGAACAATTAAGACATGAGCACATAACACAAATAAAAACGCAACTATGTACACTTTCTTTTATTGTTTCCAAATGAAAAATGTAAGATGATAAAGTAACCGTAAGTTTGTTCGTACGACCATCCATTGCAGCAGAGGGTAAATGGAGGGTAAATGGCTACAGACGTACCATCATTAAAATAGGCTCGGAGATCGAAACTAAAATCCTTTCAGTCCTTAACTTGCCCACAAATATCTTGTGTATGGTGACATCACCAAAAGAGACACCACTAATAAACAAACAAAACAAGATCCTTTAACAAATTTTCTAAAATTCCATTCGACACGAGCACCAAACTATCAGAATGCACAGACCTCTGAGGAACGAACTTAACTGACAGGGGTCCCTATTTGAAAATTGGTTGCCTAAAATAACTTAGTTAACCCACAAACATAAAGCAAACACATAATAAAGCAGATCAGCAGATCTAGATTCTTCCTAAAACACGTGCAACAGATTCGAGACACCAAGACTTTTTTGTCCAAATAATTCAAAGAAGCACTCCCAAGTAAAAATACCTGGGTTTTCAAACTCCAACCTGTGCTTTATCTTCAAAGCACAGACTGGCTGGCGAAGGGAATCAAAGCAGATATCGACATGGGTAATAGTGCTATAGCAGAACTATCTCCTGATTACTTACTTGGCGTCCCCCTTTACTTCTTCAACTCCGTCGACAGAGTCGACACCAAAACCATCGAGTTTGGAGACGGTTCCACTGGAGGTAGCGGCGCAGTCGATCCGCCAAACTGAACGCTAGGATTTTCAACACTCGGCTTGACTTTATAACTACGATGGGCTTCATCGCCTTTTACCCTGAAACCCTCGGCTCAACACCCAAAGCCGTCCAACCAGTCTTTTTCCTCCATTCATACACAGACCAAAAACCCTTAAACCCCTCACAAAAGGTAGCCAACTAACCATCAATCACAAAGAGTATATATCACCATAAAAAATTTAGTAACTTAGCACATAAGGGCACATATTTTTACTGTGCCACTGTCACTCAAACAAATTGCATATTTATGAGTGAACATGGAAACTGACCACAAAAAATTGCAGCACATCAAATGCACTTTCAGCTCTAGTTACAGTCTCCACATGTTGTACAAGAATCTTCTTAGTGTCAATTTAAAACCAAAAAGAAGTGCTCCGAAAAATCCAAGATCCCTTAAAAACAAAAATCTTCACTATTTGAATATCATTAACCGAAAAGCATATAACAAATAAAAGAGGTAAAACCCATAAAAAGAAGACTTGAAAAAACTCACAGATGTAATATGTTAAGATCCCTCAGTAGCTTCCTCAAGCGATAGTCGAAATTCGACACAACGGCCAATTTAACTGCACCATCATATTCAGTTCACCGCTCAACATAAACAAAAGGATATATTTACCAAATACCTTAAAAACTAAATAGATCAGTACTAATGCACAAAAATGTAGATACTTTGAAGACACCTCCAGAATCTTTTAGGCATAACAATGTTTCATAAGCTCCTTCCGGAAGATTCCACGAATCACCGTTTGCATAGTACTGATGGGAAAAAAATAAAAGATTACAACAATTAATATTGACCCGACAAAATACAAGCTTTGGATCATTTTAGCAAGAATGAGCATATTCTAGTCATAGTCACCTCATATACTTCCTCGAAATAATTTGCATTATCACAGCCGGTGGCTTCAGAAACTACTAATTTCCTAAACGGTCTACAATCACCCTGTCCAATTATATTTAAATCCAGTTTCAATAACTAATTGAAGAAAATATAACGTGTCAAAATATATTAGCTGCAATTATATATAAATGCACGAATGAACATATATAGAGGCCATTTTGATGAATTCTGAAGACATTGAAGAAAATATAATGCGTCAAAACAAATTAGCTGCAGTTATATATAAAGATCAAATGCTCAAATGAACATATGTAAAGGGGACATTTTGATGAATTCTGAAGACATCAACATTCACCCCCAAACAGATCCCGGATTTTTCTTTCTTTTCTTTTTCTCAATTTTTAATTAGAATCGATAAAAATCATAAGAACATACAAACTTGCTTGAAGACAAAAAAAGCTACACACGTTATACCAAGCGAAGGAGTTATGCCGCCTGTCAAGTTATTCGAGTTCAGAGTTCTGTAAACCGAAAACAGAGTCATTAGGAAGAAAGTTTTTTAAAAAATAAGAATAAGACGTATGTTTCTTAGAAATTTAATCAAACATATTGGTGGCAATTGTCAGCCCCTGAAGAGTATTATTATGGTATGATAACAATCTGACTGACCATCAATAAAAAACCAAAAGATGATCATTTTTTTGTGCACAAGATCAGGAAGGCCCTTCTTAAATGCATGGTTTTATGAATTCACATAATAAATTTTCTAAACTTACAAACATATATAACTGGAAAAGATTTAAAACATGCAAGCTCTAGAATATTTACAATCAAAACTCGAAAAGTTTTTTTTTCTAATTTTAAAGTCTTAGCTCATGCATCTGGAACAGTATGCATGACGTAAAAGTAATGTTATGAAGATTATAAAGCAGAGCGGTTTGTATTTCTTTCAAATGATTCTGAATGTGCTGAAGTGTGGGCTTCTCTGCACCTTCCAGTAATTTCTCAGCTCTGATTTTCCATGAAGTCATAGCCAATGCCAGCTCAAATTTCCGATAAACCACACAATCATTAACACATGTAGCATCCACTGCCTGCAACAACCAACGCAACTTTTCCAACTCAATATCTTGCTAAACTTGCATAATCAAAACAACATATGAGTTCTCGGTGAACTTTTTTATGCCTAAAAAGCCTTTTGGCTGCTGGAAATTAATATGGTGGCCCTACCCATGAACTCGCCGCATGCGACAAGAAGTCTATTAAGAATCCATCTGCCCAGAGAAAAATTTTTTTGCTATATATTACTCAAAAGCCCTTTTAAACCGTTTAAACCCGAGAAAAAGAAATATTTTACCGAAGAATGCGTGTCGCTTGTGTTATGCCAGCAAAAAGAGTTGCCGTGAAAGCCATCCTACGGCAATAATGTGCATTCTTCACCGGGTCAATCTTGTTTTGCAGCATAGTTCCTAGAAGGAGTGAACGACTGCCATGGGCACTATTGCAATATCTCTCGAGCTACCCATGACAGCGTAAATCAAAGGTAGCACAAAGCTAGAATCTCATAATGCACGTTCACCCTCCTACATTAAGAGCATCTTCTAATCACAAAAAAAAAAAAAGAATGACATATGAGGTTCTTAAAAAACGTTTCATCATCAGAGACGTTCAAATCCTGAAACCAACGCAAAATACAGAAAAATCGACTAATCCAGTTATGACAGATGGCTAAATAAAACAACACCGCTACACCCAATCCAATACGAAAAATACCTGAAATATCTTCACCGCGGGTCCTGCGGACCCTAAGTGTAAACATCTTGAACTTAATCGGAAACCGACCATTGTTACATTATTTTGCTAAATAAACAATTATACATAACAAAGGGAAACAAAATCACAAGACACCAATTTTTCTTCACTTTTCTCCAGACAGACTTGGACCACCACAAAGAAAGGCACAAAACAAATTAACTGTAGACTGATTAAAATATCACTCACAGAGCACGACTGTAGCTTGGACAACAGGGAAACGCTCCTCTGGAACACCATTGCTCACGGGAGAAAATTCTTCGAACTGCACTACATAATTTGCTCGAAACAATCAGTTCAAAAACACAAAATGAAATGAAAAACCCAAAATGAAATGAAAAACACAAAAACACTCGGAAAACAATAAAATGGACCGGACGACACTAAAACGAACCTAAAACCGACTCAATAACACAAATAAACACCTAAAAATAAGCACAAAAACACAACAAACACCGAGGTGTGTAAAACTCTTTCCGCAAGAAGAATACGCCCCGTGTGGCAGCTAACGGTTCAGGTGTAAATTCCCCAAAGATACAACGGCAAACGTCTCTAAATTTGTAGCACACCAGTTTTACGAGCACCGGCGAACTTTAACGGAGTCGAGAATTGAGCACTAAAAATAAAAAGATATATCATAAAACAAATAAAAATATTATTTATTTATTTTCTTTTGATATTTTTATGTCCGATAATTAGAATAAATCTATCTTTTTTATCCCCTTATTTTTTCTCTTTTCTTTTCTCCCTTTTCCTCTTTTTTCTGCTTCTTTCCCCTCAACATAAAGAGAGATATTTCTAGTTTTTTTTT